GAATTTTTTTTTACTTTTAGGTCACTTTTAGTTTAAATTTATTCCTTAACTATTATTTTTATTTTTGTTTATTTATTTTTATTTATTTGTTTTTAATTATTATTTTATTTATTGTTATTAGTCATTATTTTTATTACTTTTCTACTTTTACTATTATTTCCCTTGAGCAAAACAACATCAAACTTTGATCACACCTTTTGCTACATCTTCATGGTACCTGCTACAAAACCTGTCAAAAAAACATAACAGCAGCAAGTCTGTCTCATACCAAAACATATCCCCACGCCATCCTCAAATTGTACCATGCTACAAGATAACAAACTCTTACATAAATTCTGCAATATCATACTGAATGGCTCCAACACACTCCAAAACTAGCACCAAAATGGCACCTGCAAGATCCTATGACATCAAGAAGAGAGTTGTGCCATAAACCTGCTAATTGATATAACCCTACACAAAGTGGCAAAAGAGGATTCAAAGACCAATCTGTTAAAAAGCAAATCACAACATCCTGCATATTAAAAAAGGGACCCAACAACCAAAGGGGGAAAAGAGATAGAAATTGAGTTTGAGAAAGAAAATAAATGGGAGAGCATATCGAAAAAAAATGATTTCTTGTTTGAAACTACCGTCTCCACTGATTGATTCTAAAAAACCTTTATAAACCTGTATAAACCCATCTAAGTCTTATACCACTTCCACCAAAAAACTGGTGCGTCGACCTGTAGAATACAAAACAGTTTCTCCAAAAACAAACCACATGAACTGCAACTTGCAACACAGAATAACCAGAACACAAATTCATAACCTGATAAACCATCAAATTCTTCTTTCCCATCTCACTTAAAACCATCGTGCGGTCACCACCCTTTCACAAAACAATAACCATTCACATCCTCAAACATTTCACCTTAAAAACTTGTTTCCTCATTAACCTTCACAACAAAAACCTTCGCCTTCTGCCTTCAATATCTTCAACCTGAACCGCTGCAAAAATCCTCCCCATAGACTCAAACAATCGCAGATCACCATCAACTCACTTGAAAGCAGCAAAAGAAGACGGATTGAGAACGGGACGGAAAAGTGGAGGAGTAAAAATCTGAGGAAATAATTTTTCTTAGATTGAGTTTCTTCTAGAGTTGATTTTATGAGGTAACTTTCTTTTCTGCTAACCTGACCGTGTGACTACAGGGTTCTTTTAACCCTTTTTCCTTCTTTAAACCAACCGGGTCAACCCATACCCTAGCCAGTTTAGGCCTTCTCCCTTAGCCCTTTTCTTTATTATGTGTTTTAAAAAAATTGTAATTTATTAATATTAGATTTAGTTAATTTTATTATAATTAGATTTTGGGTTTAGTCAATCTTTTAGTTTAAGTTTTTATTTAGAGTTTAGTTAATATTTTAATTAGAATTTTAGTTAGACTTTAGTGACATTAGTTTAATTAGCTTTTAATTAGAATGTAGTTAATTAGGTTCTAATTAGACCTTAGTTTTTTTCTATTATTATTTTATTTTTACTTTTAGATTTTAGATTTTGTTAATTAGTCTTATTAGATATTGGTTTAATTTGATTTCTTTTGTTTATTCTTTTTTTAATTTTAATTATGACATTTCTATATTTTTTTTCTTGATCTTCGATCTAATTCTTGTTGTTTTTGGCTATGTTTAAACTCTAATTTTGATGTCATACCTTTGGAGTATTTGATTTGCCTGAGTCATTTACTGTATATATTGCTATTCCTCTTATACTTGATACCCGAGGTTCATCTCTTTGTCCCTTAGTTGCTCTTACCTCATTCCAAAGAAAAAGATCCCTCTTGTTGACTGCCATGTCATATTTAGGAAACCAGTTCTTCTTACCCTTTATCCTAACCATATGACTTGGAGTCATCGTGCTCTATTTAGTCGTCCCGCCGTGGACATTCCCTTCCTTGCTAACTTAACTTTAATTTAGAGTCGTCGTACTCAATGTAGGTGTCTCACCGCAGACATTTACTTTTTTTTCCTTTGGAACTTGACCACAAACGAGAGTTCCTCACCTCCATTGAGGGGAACTACGGTTGCTCTGATTCCATTTCCGTCAGGATATGTAGGCACGAGATACGATGTATTGGCGAACATACTTTGTATATACTTTAGATCTTTACCTTATAACTTTTCCCTTAGCAAACAACTTTAGCATAACATAAACACTAACAAGAGGTTCCTGTAGAGTACTGCAGATACTTAGGATGCTAACACCTTTCCTAGGTATAACCAACCCCCGAACCTTATCTCTTAGATGTGTTGTTACATAGCGCACTTAGGGTTTTCTTCGATCTTTACCCTTTCCTTTGGATAAATTAAAACTCGGTGGTAAACTTCATGATTTGTGATTCAAGTTAAATCCAATAGCTTGATATCTAATTCTCATCGCGACACCAATGTTGATGCCCAAACGGGTATGAACTCGAGTACGGAGGCGAGTACTATAATACCCTACCTAAATCCTACCCATTGTCATTCCTAGTCATTCGTTACTCCACTTCTATAGCATAAATTAAATGTATTTTTTAATAACTTTAAATTTCTATATGTAAATAAGTAGTTTAGTAAACAAGTAAAATAGAGAGATAAATAAAAGAGTTAATTAGAAATTCTAACAAACTCTTGTAACAAACCAATGCATTTATCTCTTATATATTCTTCATTCAAGTTTCACAAAGTAAGAAATGGAAGATATAAACAAAATTCAACTTTAAATTCTAATACTTATTTTATATATATAACCTACATTCTTTTCATACAATATATTAAAAGGTAAAAAGAATTTATAAAAGAAATCCCTACTTCTGAATTCATCAAAAATAGTTTCAGCTTATTACTTTTTCATTCCCTTTATTCTCTTGTTCTTTTATCTTATATATCTTCCTTATACTTTGTCTAAAGCAATTATATACGCAAACGGAGTAAATATCCCGCCAGCATCTTGATTTGTTTTCCCTCCTAAACAATTTTTTTCCCCCTGGTTCTACTCAAACTTTATATTGTATATCTGTTTATTTATCACAAAATGGTGTTTGCCTGTGAAGTTTATTTTACTCTATTTAAATTTTCAAACAGATGATTTAGCATGTTTTTGCATCAGATTAGTTATTTATATTTAACAAATGTTTACGCGGTTAGCCAAATTCGTATTCTTAAAGTCCACTTTTGTCACCAATTAAATATATTTTGTGAAAATAAAAATAAATGTTATTTAAACTAGTCATGATTTTGTTTATTTTTAGGTAAATTCTTTGATATCTATGAATTTAAGTTGATTATCAGTAGTATTTTTAAGATAGATTGTGTTAAAAATTTAATTTATTTTAAAATAAAATAAATTAAAAAATGATGTGGTATTTATTCATAGTATTTGATTTATTGAAGGTATATTGGTACCTAACTAAATTGAAAGGTACAAAGTCTTTCACATTAAATAGTTAAGTAAAACTTATGAAAATACATAATGTAATATTATATTTGTAAAATGTCTAGCAAAGACGAGCAACTTATAGTTCTTATTATATTTGTAAAATGTCTAGCAAAGACGAGCAACTTATAGTTCTTAGAAAGGATGAGAGTCATATGTCGTTCCGAAAGAGAATCATTTCGCTCTAAACACTTCTCACTCATACCATTATAAAAAACATGCATAAAGATGTTTTTAGGGCAGAAAAAATCAGGATCAATATAGTTGATCCACATCTTCTTATAAAATATGATTTCAACACATATCACTTTTTATCCAAGCCTAACTCTTATATACAAAATCATTCAGCTTATGTAAGTGAACTCTCTTACACCACTATAAATATTGTAAACACTATCATTCAAAACTTTCCGTCACTACATACAAATCCTAATTATTATAAACCTATTAAGACTTCTAAATATATTCTATTTTTGTAAATTATGGATACATATATTTTTTGACCACATATAAAAGATAAATTTTGATTTTTAAACATAGAAGATCAACTTAACATAAGTCATTCACTATTTATGGAACACAATTACACCAACATCTAAAATAAATAAATAAATGAGATTTTAAAAACTTTAAATCAAATGAAAAGATTTCAAGTGTAGTTTTGGCTAATTTTAATACGAATTCAAACTAGTAAATTTAACTTGAATACTTTTAAGTTGATGTAAGACGTGTTGTCTTTGTTACTTTAAATCTCAACTTTAATTATTCCTTAAAGTTTATAACATTCATATATACACTTCACGTTAACCTCCAAAAGTGAAATTGGATTTAAACTCCATAAGCAGTATCTCAATTCCATGCTTGTAAATGAAAAAAGTGACTAAGAGGAGACTTAATTGAATGTGGTATGCTAGATTAAAAAAATTATTAGAAAAAGAGTTTTGTATCAACTTATAAATAAATAGATAAAATATTAAATTTATAAGAGAGATGTTACAAATTTATTATTCAAATTTTTAAATGAAGATGTGACGTCTTCCTATCTTTTGTTGTAGAGCATTGAATTCCCATCAATGTGTTTGACATTTTTTTACTCTCAAAAATAGTATGAGACATGATTGGAGCAACAAGATATATGAATTTTAATAGAAACAAATAAAAATAATCATTACCAATTTCATATGATTTTCTTTTTACTAGCCATCAATCATGGCAACATTTAATTTTAACTATCGAAACTCATTAATCATTTGAATCCATGTAACGCAACTAATCAAGTCACGGAAGGGGAAAAAAGTCAAAATATTCTCATGTGATTAGTAAAAGACAAAGTAGAAAGCGGCGAGAATATAACAAGAGCTTTTTTTCTCCGACAGATGTTCCATGTTAAGACAAAATTCACTGTTTTCTCTTTGACGTTCTTGTTCTTCTTAAAGTCACTCACACACAGAGTTTCCTTTCAAAACGACATCGTATAAACACTCAGAGTTTATATATATTCCTTCACCTTCCGTTCCGTTTCAACTCCCAAACCTCATTCTCCATGGCAGAATCTACCCTCGCCGTCTTTATCATTCTCATTCTCACCGGATATTCCTCCTCCAGAGACCTCCGTCCTTCGGATCACGGCCTCCTCTTTCAGACCTTATCACCGGCGGGGACACATTCTTCGCCGGAGATGAGATCCTTCTTCAACAGCGACAATTCATCGCCGACAGTGTCGTCTTCGTCTTCCTCCGACTTTGCGATGCCGAATGCCATTACAACTGGAGATCACTCCACTCCACCGTCTTCGTGGAGGAGAGACTCCGGCGAAGACGGAGTTGGGAATGCACTGAAGGCGGCGAGTTTAGCGTGTGGAATCGTGGGAGCGTTTCTGATTTTGGCTTCGAGTTTGATTTATGTGTTCAAGTATAGAAAGCGGGTACGAAACGAAGCTTTGCGTGGTAACAATGGTGAGTTTGAAAATGATGATGGAAATAACAAAATGCAATTAGTGCTACGTGACCCTTCGAGTTCATGAGTTTGTTGTTGTCTTTTTTATTGTTATTGTTGAAATAGTTTTCGGTAACTCGTTGATTGTAAGAATAAGAAAGATAACACGGTGGCTTGTGAGACAAGTTAGTTGAGATTAACTATTAGTTAGATATTGCCTTTGGAAGTTTGATGAGATTTTGTACCTAATTCTAGTTGATATTAGTTAGGATCATTGCATCTATATACATGCATCAGCACTTTGTAATACACTTGTTTTTTTATGAATAGAATATATATTTGATCCTAAAAGCCTCATTCATGTTCATACATACTTTATAACATGATATTTGAGTTTTTTTTATAATTTGTTAGATTACATGCTATAAAGTTCTTACCTTGGTTATTGGACCACCAATTATTTATATATACACCTCAATGTATCAAACAATGGTATATAAACTCTTAGTATCAAACAATGTATTTAAAGTTCTACATTAAACAAGATACGAACTAAAAATATGTATATAAACACTTTTTCTCAAACTAAAACTTCTATCTAAAAATTTGGTTAGTTCTAACTCAAATTTATTTTAAGATGGTATTTTCATATAAACACTTTTTCCCGAACTAAAACTCCTATCTAGAAATTAAAGTTAACTCCAACTCAATTTTTTTTAAAGATGATATATTTCATATAAACACGTATTTTCAAGCTAAAACATAAACTTGTCACGAATAAATAAGATGAAATAATTTTGTGACAATATTTACAACAGTTATACCCCTCTCTAAAAAGTGTTTAAACTTCACAACCAATTATGAGAACAAATCTTCTTCGTCACAAGTTGTTGTCAACTAAAGATCTAACAATACATCTTGATAGAGCCTTCTGTTTTGGTCTAATGTTGGGGTGTACCTATAATTTAGGGAGTAGATGAAAATGACAGTGTAGTAGAATCTGAGATACAATAGGAGACTTTTGAGATATGGATACATTGTGTAGCGAATTCAAGGCAACCTGACGAGAGGGTCGACTAGAACCTCGTAGAGTTAAGAACATTTGAGAATTATAATTACAGTTATTGTAGTTATGACTTTTGAAACTATAGAGATAGAGATAGTAATTGTGTTTTTTCTATGAAAAATAGTATCGTCAATGGTAGCTAGTAGTACCAGTCACCTCGGTGGAGGTGTTGACAATATTTAAACCCTCTATACTAGTAAGGCAATGGTGGCGAGCATATATAAGTTTGTTATTGCCAATAAAGGCAATGCCATATAAGAGACATGTAACGAGGGTGAAAGGGTCAATATGCTGATGTCTCCATGACAAGAGGGTGAGTTATTTTACATGTACCTTCTTGTCATTTACGACCTCGAAGTGGGGATTTCCTTTACCATGTTTGAGCCTTAAGTCCTCAAAACTATTAATGTCGCCCCTCCCAAATAGAATCAAATAGTTAGACCTTTATCGAAAAGGATTAGAGATTATATGTAAGATTTTTGGAAATCACGCCTACACTAGGCGTCTTTTTCTCATTTTATGATGCCAAGGGTGTAGAGAAATGCAGTTAGGTGTCCATATTCATCTAATTATAAAAATTAGAAGGATAATTGACTAGGATACAAGGAAGAGGGGAGCGCTCCATGGTCATATTTGATGAGATCGGCGATCACTAATTTCCCTTGCATTTGACGAGTAACCTCATGCCAGTAAACAATTTCCACTGTGACTTCCTGAGGGAGACGCAAAGAGAGGCTGTCGAGTTCCTATATGCATTATGTATTATGAAATCCAAGGAGGTGGTGGAGTACGACCATAGCGATAAGAATGACGAAAAGTGTTTTGTACATCTGAATGTTCTGACTAACGTGATTATTTTCTATAACTTTGTTTTTTTATCTATTTGCAAAGAGGAAGGACCATATGTATGTCGCTGAGAAGAAGACTCTATACGTGAAAAAGAGGGTCATTCAGGGTGAGGTGTGGTCTCTCAAACCCAAAAGTAATCCCCTAGGCTTGATAACCTAGGGTGAAAAGAAGACAAAGTCATTGGAGGAGATGTTTATAATTTAAGCCATACCCATTACTAGCGTGAAGCTAAGAGTGATTGATGCGACTTGGTTTCCAATCTGGGATAAAAAATACAAGGTTTCTAGAGATAAGAGCATCATTTATTTAGAGGTGGAGGGTAGCAAGATTTCACTATTTCTTTAGAATGAAGATTTTAACACCATACACTTTGTACCTAAAGAAGTTTTGAAATTTGAAAATGAAATTCAAACAAGCGGAACAAGTTGTCACCATAGATCAGAGAAGGATTATCAAAGTCGGCAAAGAAAGAAAATAACATTTTGCACAAAAGGTGAAACGTAATCTGAAAATAGAAACTGTCTTTATATAACGTGGAGAGGGAGGCAAATCAACGGTCTAGAACAAAGGAAGACAATAAGACAAAAATTAACAGACAATATTCAATCTGGGATCACAACTGCACTCGAGTGAACTTGAGCGCCCTAAAGCGCAACGTTACCCTTACACTGGGAGTTTTAGGCCACATGGAATAATATCCATGTGAAATGTTTTAGTGGAAAGACTTGTATTTAGTGCATGTATTCCTTAAGGTTACTTGTTCCCCCTCTATAAGCCTTTCCACTTCTACATGATACGAATTCTTCGCGAGGACTAATGACCATGTCAAATGGGACAACAACCTAGTACTTTGAAAAGTCTCTCCATTCCTACATAATGGCATACTTTGGGGACAACTGTCCTAAATCGACTATATACCCAAGGGAAGTAAAGCCCAATCACGGTGAGGCCTAGTCCAAGAACATATGCTCCAAGGCATAAGTAATTCAGAGTCTTCACCACCATCAGATATAATTGGATGGCCCCCGCGTTAGGCTCTTGATCACACGGAAACAACTCTAATCACTCACATTATTAATGTCCACCATACACCATTTCAGGTACTTTCTCATTCACACACTCAAATTATTTTCTCACTCATCTATTGATTTGGGTGTTAGAATGTTAACTTAGGAGGTACACTTCCGTTATATCGTATAGAAAACTTACTCCACCACATCAGAACTTAAGTCCATCGAATCTCCACATATTTCTAATTTCAGTATGGAATAAAAATATATTTAATTATAAAGAATTAATAAACAATGTTGTGGATTGTGTACAATCTAGTTGACTTGTACTAAATAGCCATCAATCATAATTCAAATGGATGATTATATTATACGACGCCTTGTGACCAAGACAATCAATAATATATGTACATGGGGGCTCTTATGTTCGACTTGTTTCTCCCTCTTTTTAAGGAAATTTTTATTTCCCTTGTTCATGCGTGCTCTATCTCTTTATAACGTGGCTTCGTGCCAATAACTATTTTAAGTAGGGGTGTGACTAATAAGAAACACAAATAAAATGTAAAAGTGTCCAGTTCTATTGAATTTAGACGACCTTCATGGACCTCATTAGGTTTTAAAAAGATTCGATTAACTAACATTCAACTATCTTTGTACTCATTTGACCTTCCTTTGATTAAGGGGAATTAAGATGATTTTAAATTCTGGTGCTTTTTAATTTTGACTAATATGTTGTTTATTTTAAGGGTAAACAAATGCCTTAGTGTATTATTTTATTGGTTGGGCTTAAACTTCCATATGCACATGCTTAACAAGAAAATCCTTATCATGGGAGAAAAGAGACTTAATTTTGGTGATGAGATTCATCCCATTACTATTATCGTTGTCGTTGGAATTAAACGCCTTCACTATTAGTTAGGAGCAGATGTTAATTTCTAATAGCCTTGAAACCCAAACTAATAGCAAGATGAATACTTTTATAAACTCCCCATAATTCCATCATGAATTCATTACAAATACCAATCATTTTGGAGAAATCTCCTAACCACTCCCCTTCATTTCCTGGAATAAGCGCTTCACATCTCGCATACCCTTTACTATTCTTAGCGCCATCCGTATTCAGTTTTACCCATCCTGTAAGAAGAAACAACCATTGGATAAACTTAACTTCCTTTTGTTGCTGGACAATGATGCTTGAAGCCAATTTTGCGCTCCCATAATCACTAATTATCTTCCTAACAACCACTTATGGGCAAGAAGGCCTACTAAAATAAGTCTCTTTGTTGTGCCATCTCTAAAGACTATAGCAAGAAATAGCCCACAAAGTCTTCCAATCATCATCTTCATTTCAACCATAATTACTACTCAAATCCATTTTTATTCAGCTTTCTAAAGTTTCCAAAAAAAAAAATTAGCTCTACTTTTAACCTGGACAATATTCATCCAAAGGAGCAAAACCTTAGAACAATCTCTAAGCACACGCAAGGTATCCTCATCCACATCCGAACAAAAATTACACATTGCACTTGCTCACTCTCGTCCAGTTATCAACACCGATACTGTGATCTTTCTCAACATTGGCCTGATCCTGTGATCTTTCTCAACAATGGCCTGATACATACTTCCCACACTATATCCCGCGTTCATCACTCCGCATCAGTGCAAGGCAGAGGGATCTAAACTAATGATTTAGAGTTTCATATTGAATGTGATAAGGTTTGAAAATGCAATATAAATGCTAACAAATTTATTTTTATAATGATTGACTTAAACCTAAACTAAACTTCAGATCACGCTATCACGTCACCTTTAAGTTTGGCACAAACCCGTGAAATCTAAATCAGAATCAACATGACTATTAGAATTTGAAACGAAACATTCTCTCTATTTGATCGAAAAAACTAGTGCTCGAGTAGAAAAAAAATATAAATATTTCTTTAAAAGATCAATATGAACAGATTAAATACAGTAATTCACCTAATGATCAAGAGATAACCACTCAAGTTCTAAGTTTAATTCTCCACATTCCACATTCTGAAGCTTGATTAACATATTTTGTTTAACTTTACCATCAATGATATTGACTATGCTATCTTCTACAAGTGCATTGTCATTTGATTTCAGCCATTTTCCTATTTGCATATCATCAAACATTCCAGCATT